TTTTAGCCTGTCTCTACAGCTGTTTATGGATCTTCTGTTATGACTTTTTTATTCAGATGATTTGTTTCCTATTTATTCTACTGTAGTCCTTAGTTTCAAACCACAGAAATATATACAGATCTGAGTGGCTAAGACCAGAAAAAAAAAAGGTTAGGCCTAAACAGGAACCCAAAACTAGAATTCAGCTTCAATGAATTTAAAAAATACAGTACCACTAAAAGATAAAATGTACCATACTGGAAAACTACTTACTTCCACAGTAGTTGCAGCCTTTTGAGTCATTTTTCCAACAAGGTCAACCTGTTCATATCTGGATTTCATGTATTTTTTTGCAACTTTGTATACCCACTGTGGGCAAGTTGCAGAAAAAAGTAAAGTCTGAGGATTGTCTTCAGAATCTTAAATAAAAAGAATTCAAGTGTTTTTTAAATATCTCATAAGGTAGCCAGCTCTTATAAATCACAAGCTTCAAACAAACTGAAAAATTCAAGACTAAGGGTGAATTTTTAACATACAGACTTCACAACAACTATTGAAACTTTCAGCTTTTTAAAGGTAGGGAAACAATATGAAGAAAAATTCAGAAGAAAAGTGAGAATTAAAGAAATCAACGAATATAAGAAATCAGTGAAATGAGTTGCTAAATATATGAAGTACAGGAGAGACAGCACAGATAGCCAGACACGGTGGCATAGGTATCTGGGTGTGGTGAGGGACACCTGTAATCCCAGCACTTGAGATGCTGAGACAAGAGGATCACAGTGAGTTCAAGGACAGTCTACCCTATATAAGCAAGTTCAAGATAAGCCTGCACTATATATTGAGTCCCTGTTTCAAAAAATCAAGAAGCACAGAAAGCTGTAAAAATACTTAAAGTATGTTATCATTCTTCTCAGGGAGAGAATGGACACCGAATTAACTTTAGTTTTATTTTAACATGGGAGGACAAGATAATCAAAATTATGAGATTAAAAAAAAAAAGCCTCGTAAACTCTTAAAATCAAACAATTGCTACAATGTGCTTGTTATGGATTAGGATGTACCAGTTTTGTAGGATTCATGGATAATATCTTCGACTTGTTCAGCAAAACCTAAGTCTAACATCTGATCCACTTCATCAAGTACAACATGGCGCAGTTTAGAAAGATCCAGGCGGCCGCTCTGCAGATGATCTTTGATACGACCAGGGGTCCCAACCAAAATGTCAATACCATTTCGAATATGATTTACTGTGAAGGGAGAAAAATGCCAGTAAAATGTAAAAACAAAATATCCACTGTCTTATTAGTTCTTTAGATATAAGTAAAAATTACATCTTTCACACACATTTACTCACTTTGGCTTTGATATGATGTTCCACCATAAAAACATGCCACGCTGAGTTTCCTAGTTATATCTTTGAAGTCTTTGGCTACTTGGTTTGCCAATTCCCTTGTTGGAGCCAAAACAAGTACCTGAATAAGAGGTTTAAAAAATAAAAGCACTTTTCTGAAAATTTACATAGGGCTCAGATATAATTCAATGGAAAAGTTCTTGCCTTACATTCTGGGTTAAACTGTACATTATTGCCAAACAAGCTGGTAACATATAAATTCAATCTAGACAATTTTTTTTTAAAGGCACACTTAAAAATAGCAATCTCAACACTGATAATGTCTTTATTTTTATTTTATTTTTTTCCTGGTATCAGGAATCAAACAAGACCACACACTTGCCAGGCAGATACTTGTGTCACTGAGCTATATCCCTTGCCTGATAATGTCACAAATTTTTGACAGTCTACAGACTTCGGGGTGTAGTTCAGTGGTAGGGTGCTTATTTGGCATGTACAAGGCTCTGGGTTGGATGCCAACACCAAACAAGACAAAACAAAATCACACCAAAAAAAAAAAAAAAAAAAAAAAAAAAAAAAATCATAAAAAAAAAAAAAAAAAGAAATTTAAAAAAAAAAAAAAAAAAAAAAAAAATCCACAAATAGCAACAATAAGAACAACAGCTTTATTCTATCCTACTCCTGTCGTATCTCTTCAAAAGCCAGTCACTTCCTCTGTGAAGCTCCCAAACCTCATCTTTTATGCTCTGCCCTTCTTTATTTCTTCTCCTCAGGGCTTACTCCACCTATATTTCTATTTTAGATCTTTGCTGACTCTATCTCAACTACTCAAATGTAAACTCTGTGAAAACAGGGATATATGTTAGGTGGCTCACTGTATTCTTTGTACTTCAGGGCCTGTACAGAGCAGATAAAACATACTGGGTTAAGTGAATAAAATATTCTTTGTCTGCTAAACATTGGTGCTTTACAGGAATTATCTAATTTGATTCTCATAAAAGCCCTATGAAGTAGCATTATTATTCTATTTCTATAGATGAGGAATACGGTTTCAGAGATGATGGAAGGTTTGCTTAAGATCAAACAGCTAGAAGGGGTAAAACTGGAAACTCCACTAACATTTTTCTTTTTTTTTTTGTGGTACCAGGGATTGAACTCAGGACTTTGCATTTGCCAGGCAAGACTTATTCTACTGAGCAAACTCCCTGGCCCTCTACTAACATTTTTCAAGGAAAAGTTGAGATTGTTTCCTATTTCTATTTACTTGTACTCCTTCTGAATTTCACCTAAGAATATAACTCTCCAAAAAAGATTTGTCCCATAAACAAACACAGCCAACTAACTTGGGATAGCTCATCCAATAATATTATGAATGAATTCTATTTATATACATGTGACTTTGCTCTTATACTATACCATTTAGTAGTCTTTAACAAAAAAATAAAAAAAATTTGTTTTTTGAGTTTCTTGCCATCTAGCTCAGGCTGGCCTTGAACTCTTGTAGCAATCCTCTACCCTCAGCCTCTCAAGTGCTTGGATTATAGGCCTGTGCCACCACACCCAGTTTAGAAGTCTTTCAAAGAACAAACCATTTTTAGTCACCTACCTATTCAAATTATGATGTTGATTTTTTCTTCTTCATCTTTATGAATCTTAAAGTTCATACAGAGTCTAAAAAGGTCGAATCTTAGGCTAAAACTATAGCACTCTGTTAGTTGATTTTACTACTTTTAACTTCAGACATCTTTAGTACATTACTTCAAAAGTGCAGAAACTAGCAATATCATTTGTGTCTTTATACAAAGTCAACCAGTGACATAAATGCTATTAGATATTTACTAAATGACTATATAAATTAATAACTCTTTAGAAAAACCGTTCTTTTAAAGTAGAAAGACTTTTTAAAAAAGGGGAAAGAGTTCCTAAACACATTAAGTATGCTGTAAAGTACATGTGCTTATAATCCCAGCACTGAGGAAGACTGAGGCAGGAGGATAACAAGTTTGAGCCAGGCCTCCGCAACCTTGCAACCTTTAAGAGACTTAGTGAGAAATGGTCTCAAGATAGAAAAAACAAAATGCTGGAATATAAAGGCTCAATACAAAGGCCCTGGGTTCAATCCCCAGCACTACTGCAATCTCTCTCTCTCTCCCCCTTTCCCTTTTTCTTCCTCTCCCTCTCCCTCCCTCTCTCCCTCTGTCTCTCCCTCCCTTGCTCCTTCCAGTGTACATATTCCAAAAATAAAACATGCTGGCTTCACAACAGCTATCAAAGGTACCTATGACTCCATACATATTAAATTTGTATGTGGTGTAACCACTTTAGTTTTGCTTGAAATTTCCTTATGTAAAAACACAAAGTTCTTGTTTTAAGACCCAGATTTTTACTTTAAGTCACAGGGCTAACTTTTCTCTTAGAAATACTTGACTTTAGGGGCCAGGGAGATAGCTCAGTAGAATAAGTGCCTGCCTGGCCAAGTATAGGGTCCTGAGTTCAATCCCCAGCACCACAAAAACAAACAAACAAACAAACAAACAAACAAAACCAAAACACCACCACCATCACCACCAAAACACCAAAAAACTCCGTTCAGAGCAGTAGCTTAGATTCTATACAAGAGGTCGTAGGTTCAAAGCCCAGCACCAAGAAGAAAGAAAGGAAGGAAGCAAGCAAGCAGAAGGAGGGAGAGGGAGAAGAAGGGAAGAGGAAGAAGAAGAGTGGGGGGGGAAGAGGAGGGAGAAGAGGGGGAGAGGGCAAGGGGGAGGGGGAGGAGGAGAAGGAGAAGGAGAAGAAGAAACAAACCAACCAGTATATTCTAACCTAACCCTTTCCATGTTTAGAGCTTTTATTCTCTTATAATCATTACCTTTGGTGAGCGGCTTTTTTTAATTGTTTCTTGATTTCTTTGGAGCCTTTCAATTAAGGGAATGGCAAAAGAGAATGTCTTCCCTGTTCCTGTCCGTGCTTGAGCAATCAAATCTTTCCCTTCATATACAGGACCAAAGGTCTTAACTTGAATAGGAAAGAGATATGTTACCCCTCGACCTGTAAAATGAAATTTCATTCAAATATTTCTTTGAAACCACCAGCAGAAAAAATGACAATCATGCTTCTATGTATTTCTGAAGATATACCTAGTGACATTTACAGTTATTCCTAACCAAACAACTACCATAACAATATGAGTCTAAATTTTTGATGGATACATCTGGCTTTTTGTTTTGGTTTGTGTTTTTTTTTTGAGACAAGGTCTTGCTATAGAGTTCAGACTGGCCTTGAACTCACTCTGTAGCTGAGGATGGCCTTGAACTCATGGCAATTCTCTTGCCTCAGCCTCCCAAGTGCTAGGATTACAGACATGCACCACCACACCCAGCAGGAGTCTTATAGTTACTATGTCAGGATACTGAAAAAGATGATAGAGAAATAACTGAAATTCAGTAAGAGCTATTTCTTTTTACAGTTTCACTTTGGTCAGAAAAGGCATGAGAATTTTATAAAATCTGCTAATAGATTTCTAACTGCTGTCTGTTAGAACCAACAGTACCTTTCAGAAGTTTTATGGTTTCTTCAGAAATAGAGAAATTGGAGAAGGCTCCCTCTTTCTGTTCACGGGTTAGAGTCTGTCAGAAGGAAATAGAAGTTCTACATAATATGTTTGTTTGACTTTTACTCATTTAACATTTTTAACTTTACAAATCAACTGTAGTTAGCACTCGTAAAAAACTGTAACTTAAAAGAAAAAATTAATGGGAAATTTTTTAAATCTCAAAAGTACCTCTTTAAACAACAAAACTTGTATTTTAAAATGCTTAATTCAACCACAAAACTTAGTGATATAGCTAGACTCTGTCTGAAAATAATTTTTTTTTTTTAAAAAGGGAGGGATATAGCTTAGTGCTTAAGCACACCAGGATTCAATCCCCACTACTACCAAAATTTTTTTCTACTTATGTTATTACAATAAATGAAATAACCTAAATCACACTTAAAATACTTTCTTTTTTTTATTAATTTTTATTTATTTATTTGTGTGTGTGTGTGTGTGTGTGTGTGTGTGTGTGTGGCCAGCTCAGCCCAGCAGGGGGCGGGGCTGGCTGGCATGTGGTGCTGGGGGATTGAACCACAGTCCATGTGCTTTGCTAAGCTTGTTCTAAGTAGGTGCTTTAGACCACTGAGCCATCTCACCAGCCCCTGTTCTATGATTTTAAAAGCTTATTTTTAGAGCATTAATACAGGGAAAAATTCTACAAAGTTAACAATTTTCCTGGTACTCAGGACCTGTACTGAATTATATCTCAGCCCTTTGAAATTTTTTAATTTGAAAAAAGGTCTTGCTAATTCACTAAATCACATAGGCTGTGCTTGAATTTGGAATTCTCCTTCCTCAGCCTTCCTAGAGGACTGCAAAAACAGGTGGGTACCACTATGCCTGATTTAACATTTTTTAAAAACATATATTCAGGTTAGCCAGGAATGGTGGCACATGCCTACAATCCTAGCAATCTGGAGGTTGATGCAGGAGGATCACCTTGAGCTTGAGGGCAGCTTGGGTTACACAATGAATCTGAGACTAGGCTGAACTACATAGGGAGACTGTATTTTTAAAAACATGGAGTTTAGTATTAAGATCTATTGAGCATTTTGCTGTACTAACCAGTAAACTTTGTTATTTGTGCTTAAAGGATTTATATAATCACAGGCTGGGGAGATAGCTCAGTAGAATAAGCACTTGCCTGGAAAACACAGGGTCCTGAGTTCAACCCCTGGTACCCCCCCCCCATTACATAATCACACAGAATAGCATTTTTCAAACTGAATACCAAAGAAAAGAATATCAAATTCCAAGTTCTAAGCCATTTAAGCAAATTTCAGAGTCACTTTCTTTCTGAGACAGGATCTCAGTATGGAACGTAGCGTGGATTCAAACTGACTTTGATCCTCCTGTCTCAGCCTCCCTAGTGTCTGGGGTTACAGGTGTGTGCCACCATTCCAGCTATTCTTTTGAAGATGAAAAAAATATGAAAATTATATATTTTAATTGTAAAAAGTCTAAGGAACACAGACAAATAGAAATACTGGTTTTTTTGGTCTTTTTGAGACAAAAGTCTCACTATGCGGTTCAGGCTGGCCTTTAGCTCACTGTGTAGCGTAGGCTGGTCTCGAACTTGCAACGATCCTACCTCAGCCTCCTTAGTGCTGGGATTACAGATGTGAGCCACCATGTCTGGCCCAGGTGTTTTTTTTTTTTTTAAATGTAGTTGGCTGTTCTAGGGTCTTTCTATGCAGCTCAGACTCATAGTGATCCTCCTGTTTTCAGCCTCCCCAGCACTGGGATTACAGGTGTATGCCACTACAACTGGACTCTGTGGCCGGTGGGCTTTGAACCATGGTCCCTGTGCTTGCCTAAGCAAGCACTTTAGTCTACTGAGCTATCTTGCTGGCCCCTGTAAATTTTTAAATAATATATAATCCATTCGGTTAAAATAAATTTGTGAAAGTTCTTTTTAAGAGGGTCTCACTTTGTAGTTCAAGCTAGTCTTGAACTCCATGTGGCCCAGGTTGGCCTTCAACTCACAGTGATCTTTCTGCTTTAGCCTCTGGAGTGCTGGGATTACAGGTGTGCATGCGCGATCATGCTTAGGTGCTAAACCTAACTTGATACACTCTAATCCTCAATCTATACACATGTAAGTTTTTAAAAATAAAAAATATAGTCTTATAATCTGCTTTTTTTTTTTTTTAAATCCCCCTTAAGAAAATAAAATGGGAGGGCCAGATATATCTCAGTAGTATAGTGCATGCCTGGCAGGCTTGAGGTTGTAAGTTCAATTCCCAGTATAAAAAAAAAAAGAAAGAATGAACGAACGAACAATGGGTATTTTTTTGTTTTGAAACAGGGTCTCACTGTATATTTCATAGTGGCCTTGAACTTGTGCAGCCCAGACTGGCCTTTAAATCACAGTAATCTACCTGCCTCATTCTCCAAAGCACTGGGATTACAGGCAGGAGCTGGCCACCAGCTTCTTTCTAATATTCTTGCATATCCTTTGGAATAGTTGTATTCTACTGCATACCTACACACAGGATATGTTAATAACCAACTGCTTACTATAAAACATTTAGGATATTTAAATATTTTGCTATTATCAATAGTATCAGTGTGAGGGCCAGGGAGATAGCTGAGCAGACTAAGTGCCTGCTTTGGCAAGTACAGGGACTAGAGTTCGATCCCTGGTACTGCACTCCATGCCCACTCTGCCCCCGGGTGCACTGATCCAGTGACTAGAGTCTGGGTGTGGTGGCACATGCCTGTAATCCCAGGGCTGGGGAGGCTGAAAAACAGGAGGATCACTACAGTCCGAGCTGCATACCAAATATACAAATGGAAAAATAATATTATCATTGTGTTGAGAGTACTGACATACTGTGCAGTGAGACCCTATAGTGAAATACATAAAAAAGAACAGCACTGATATAACTCTGTACGCGCCAGAGTTAAAAATTAAAAATTTTTAATTTTTTAAAGAGAATACAAAATAGTAAATTAGAAATGATACAGAATTTCACTAAATGAAATAGGCATTTGACAATGGTGGTGGCATTGCATACTATTATCTTCAAATTAGTTATCTGCTAAATTGAGAAAAAAATTATAAGAAATTAAAAAAATTAAGCATTAACTGCTCCGCAGAAATCAGCAGTGTATGTCATAATTATCTCATTAGAATAAATTCCTAAAAGCAGAATTTCCTGAAATCTAATTTTTCTAAACAAAATAATGAATCATTAAACCTACTGCAATACTGAAAATTATACCAAGAAAAATCCTAATAGCTCAAGGAGCAATCTGTACAACAGCATGGTGGCACACATCTATGATAATTCCAGCACTCATGATGCTGAGGCAGGAGGACCACTGTGAAATTAGAGGCCAGTCTGTGCTAATAGTGAGTTCAAGGCCAGCCTAGAAAACACACTGAGACCCTGTCTCAGAAAGAAAATATAAAAAGGGCTGGTGTTGAAGCTCAGTGTGAAGACTCTGAGTTCAATCCTTGGTTAGCCCCTCACTCTCCCAAAAATACACACATGTAGGTAACCAAAATGCAATTTGGAAAAACTGTTTAGGAAAACCCAACTGTACAGAAAAAGTTTAACTGTGAGCATTCTTCCACTTTCACTCTAAGAAAAAGGCAACATAGTAAGATAAGAGCCAAAGGACAAAAGCTCAGATTTCAGTTGTATAGTCTCTGCAGTCCATACTGGACCCTAAGCTGGAAACATATAGAATCAATTCTAACTAGCCTAAAATATCAAGCCAGCCTATATTTCAAAGATAATGCCAATTTCTAAATAAAGGGTATCCATACCTCTTCCAGTTTATTAACACTTGATTTATGAGAACTTTCTATGGATGATATTCGTTTAGATTTTTTTTCACATTCATCAATATCTCCATTTGATAGATCTTTTCTTCTTGACTTATGAGATGTGGAAAATTCATCTGAAAGTCTATTCAATCCTTCGTCAGTGTCTCCATTTAGCTTCTCTTTGATTTTAGCTTTTTTGGGCTTGGGAGCATCCAGGTCCTCTGTAACACCGTTTTCTCTTGTTTCTGCTTTCTCATCTGAGTCATGACGGTGCCTTGACTTCCTTCTATCACTCTGTAGACAAAGAAACAGAGATAAAAGGATTGCAGGTCTGCTTTTAGGACTTCTGAGAAGTTAGAGCATGACTCCCCAACCATTTAAACTCAATCTACAGTTTTACTGAAAATCTACCTGGCAGAAATCCATACTGGTAACTAATGCCAAGCTCTAAGCCTTATCTGTTACTATCACTATCACGCTATAACTTGTATTTTCAAGACTCAGCCTCTAGTCCAACTCTAAACCCATCACAAGATTTGGGGGAAATTAAAATAGCTCTTTCTCAGGAAAAGAACGAGCATGTCAAAATTATAAATTAAAACACAAACAAGAACTTCTAATATCTCCGAGAAAAAAAATTAATATTTATTGAGTACCTACCCATTGTTATGTAATGTGTTTTCGGCTTATCTTGCTTATATCTTCATAGCAACCCTATAAGGGAAGTACAGGTCCATAATCCCTTATCCGAAATTCCGATATCCATAAAGCTCTGAAAACCGAAAGTTTTTTTGGTAATTTATTTGGAGGTAAAAACCATACCTGATCTGAACTCATCTGATGGCAAAAATTGACTGGAACATAAGCCTTTTTACAGTCTTTTCCCCACTTAGTATGACTATTTATATTTAACATTAAGGCGTTTGATTACTAGCTCTAGTTCCCAAATCCTGCTGGGGTATAACCATTCTGTAAATCCCCAGAATTCTGAATTCAAAGCATACCTAGTTCCAGGGATTTTGGATAAGGGATAGTGAACCTGTATTACCTTTGCCATTGTACGCATGATGAAAGAGAATTTTTGTTGTTAATTTTTCTTTCTTTCTTTTTTTTTTTTTTTTTTGAGGCAAAGTCTTACTAAGTATCAAGCTGACCTTAAACTCACTATGTAGTCTTAAGCTGGCCTCAAACCCATGGTGATACTCCTGCCTCAGCCTCCCCAGTGCTGGGACTATAGGAATGCACCAACACACCCAGCAAAAACAGAAGTTCTTAGAAATTACGTGCAAAGATTCACATATGGGATTTCCAGTAGAAAGAAGTGTTAGAAATCTAACTCAAACCCTATCTTTTCACTTCACACTTTTCTCTAACTTTGATGATTAACAAGTTAAAAAAACTATATGAAACTCCAATTGCTGTATTTCCATGAAAGAACAGTAATCCTTGAAATTGTATTTCTTCTCATTTAGTTAACAGAACTTTAAAACACAAAAACCAAAGCTACTATTCTGTAATTACTACCAGCAAGGTTTTAATATTTGCAGTCCTCAAGGAAGGGTTTAAGAAATTCAACATTTCTTCAGAATTACTTGAAGTTTCAAAATAAATTAGTGATAGTTATTAAGTGATAGCATTTTCACCATAATCTACACGTTTCAGAGTGCTTCAGCACACCACTTCATCTTCCCCCCAAAAAAAGTTGTTGTGAGAACCGAGTAACACAGTACATGTAAAAATGCTTTGCAGTTGGATCATCTGATCTTAGTTAACTGCACTAGTCCACATATCCCCAAACCAGTAAGATCTAAAGAAAAACAAGATTATTTATAGAATCAGCCCTGGGGTGTGATTTGCTCCTGAGCCCTGCACTTCAGGGAGAAGATGAAACAAGGCAAAGTGAGATTGCTAAATCCAAACCCAAGAGCGACCTCCAGTAATGAAATCCATCATTCCAAATGAGACTCACAGAGCCTGACACTCCATTTCTTTGGTTTCCATCGTACTCTATACCCTTCTTATGCTCTTACTTCTATCACGTCTTCAATGGTTTCCCCTCTGTTCTCCATATACACTTCTATACCATTTTCATGACTTCAACTCACACCTCCAGACTTTCTTCCCTATCTGCATTCCAGTCAGAAGAACCTATTATCTCAAATATACAAACCAAATTTACTTTCATCTCAGTGCCATCAAGTCTTGTGCTGGTATTCCAATCCACTTCCAAATTTCTAGCTATCCTTCATAAAGGACAATCAACAAAGTGTTTCTAGAGAATTTACAATGTGACAGTCACCAACTCAGAATACAGAACATGAAAGTATACACTATTTTTGTAAAATATACAATCATTTTTTTAAAGAATCATAGGGAAATGTTTAGAAAAGACACACAAAGGAAAAAATAAGCTAACTTTAAGAGGACACATAATAGAAGACACACAAATAGCCCTAGAACAAGACTTAAATAGGAAATAAGATTACTGTACCCTGGGGTAGTTAGGCATAAGCTACATCTTGACAGATATGGTACTTGTATGTAAAAACAAAACCAAAGTCAGATGTAGAGGTGCATGATCAATCCCAGCTACTCTAAAGGCTGAGGCAGGAGAATCACAAGTTTGAGTCCAGTCTAGGTAACTTAGCAGGACCCAGTACCAAAATGAAATGAACAGGGCTGGGGGTATATATAACTCAATGCTAGAGCACTTGCCTAGTGGGTTAAGAGGGCCTGGGTTCCAGTGCAAGAAAATAAAAACAAAGTGAAGCACCTCAAGAGGAGCTGAAATTAAAATGACCTGCGTAGGGATTCCATCTATAGTCTTAAGTTATCATAGTAGTCAAATTCACTGGTACATTGTGGTTCCTGAGATGGGAGAGAAGAATGGGAAATTAGTGCTTAATGGGTGGACTTTCTGCATGATATGAGAAAGTTACAGAGATGGATGGTGGTGATGGCTGAATAACAATGTGAATGTACATGCCACAAAACTACACACTTTAAACAGGTTAAAATGTGAATTTTAAGTTGTGTATATTTTACCACAAGACAATAAAACAAAGCATAGCCAGGTGTGGTGGCACTCACCTGTAACCTCAGCACTCAGGAGACTGGGGATTACTGCAAATTCAAGGCCACCCTGGCCTGCATAGTGAAACCCTGTCTCAAAAAGGCAAAAGCAAAGTGCCCAGCATAGTGGCACATGCCTACTACCCCAGAACTCTGAAGCCTGAGGCAATAAGACTGCTGAGTTCCTGACTGGGACTATACTGTTAGTTCAAGGTCAGCCTGAAATACACACTGAGACCATCTCAAAACAAACAAAAATTGGTGGGCTCGAATGGCAAGTGTACCTTAGGGACCGGAAGGCACGTTCTGCTCAGTGTACAAAATGAATCTTATTTTATTTATGTGCAGTGTCAGTCCTTGAATACTATTTCACCCTCTTTAGGTATTTTCTCTGTAATCCTTTGCTTTGAGATTTGTTTTTTCGTTTTTGAAGGGGGAGTGGTGGTGGCTCTAAAACTATTACAGGCTCTTTGAGAATAGAGACCATTTCTCATATTTAAATGGATCATAAACTCGTTGGCACTTAGCAAAGAATACGGTATAAATTGGGCTCGACAAATACCTGTGGACTGAAATACTGGCAACAATAACTATTAATAATACAACCCACACGATCTCCATCAGACAAATCCTGGCAACGTTGGCTGTGACACTACTCATTTAGCCTCTATAAACTACTTACCGAGATTTGTAAACCTAAGATTCCGTTCCCTAATTTTTTACACATAAAACAAGACGACAGAGCAAAATATAGACAAGGCAATTATTTTTTTTAAATCCTCGTTTTTTTTTTTTAGTACCGGGGATCGAACTAAGGACCTTGTGCTTGCCAGGCAGGCACTTATTCCACTGAGCTAGCTCCCTGGCCCTTTAATCCTCTTCTAAGACAGCCCCAAAAGAATCAAATGTCAGGCTTTGCTGCTTACGGAAAAGGGACAGATTTGGCGGCGATGGGCGCTTCAGCCTGCCCATCGCTTAGCAGAGACTGAGGCACCAACGGGAACGGATAGTGGGCCAGAGGAGGCCGGGCCGAAGCCTAGGGCCCTCCTTCCCCAGGTCGGAAGTGTGATGGGGGAAGGGTCTCGGCGCTACCTCAGAGGCCGACGACGGCGCGAAGGGGAGGCCCACGGATGCTCCGGCCGGGTCCTGACAGGCCACCGTCAGGGACAGTTCCCCTCCCGCCCAAGCCGGCGCAGCCCCAAAGGAGGCGCGGCCCTCCCTCAGCGCACCTTTTGCCGCTCCTTCCTCTTGCTCTCAGACTCTTCCAAAGGTGCTTCCAGCTCCATAATATCCCCCCAGAGGAGTTTCCCAGGCATTACTGGCCGCTGCCACCTCCCTTCGAGCACGGTGGCCGCAACCACCTACGGGCAGCGACAGCGTGAAAGGAAGCGGGGGCAGGGCGGCCGCCCGGCCAGGGTTGTGCGTCACTTCCGGAACAAGCACCCCGCGGCGGGGAGGAAAAATAATCCCCGGATAACTCTTGGTTTAAACTCTGCCCTTGCGCCGCAACATTCTAGCCAATGAGAGTGAGAGGCCTAGAGGGACCCGCCCTTGTTCTTAAAATGATTGGTTTATGGAGTAATAACCTGGCCAATCCCCATAAAGGTTGCGCGTACTGCCTAGCATAAATGACTTCGTTTCTACCCCTCCTCTACTCCTAATTGTAATCGGCATTCCAGAGAATCTTCGGAGCTTCCCGGCATGCAGTGCGGGAGTGCGAAGCCCCTCAACAGCCGGGGGAGGGGCTGAGGCGCGCGCGGACTGGTGGGCGGGGAGCGCCACGCGCTGCCTCGCCATTCGCCGCCGGAAGCTGCAGCCCTCGCTCCGACCACTGCGGGGGAGGGCGTTAACGTCCAACGACTTTGCGCCCGGCGTCGGTGCCAGGGGCTTCCGGAGGTCGGGAGTCGGCGGGTTGGGCGTGAAGGGAAAGCAAGGGCAGGATGCACCTCAGGCTTCGACGATTTAGGCTTTGGGCGCGGCGTTAGGTACCGGTTCGCTTCTCACGTTCTCAGTCTGATGTCACAGGAAAACAAAATCCACCCCCAAAAGGAATCTGAATAGCACAGTTAATAGCATAGATCCGACTGAAGAATTTAATCTTTTGAATCAGTACTTTGTCTACCACAACAAAAACTTTTTTAAAAAATTTTATACTGGGGTGTGTGTCTCGTTTTATAGCCCAGGCTGGTCTTCAATTCCCAGCGCTCCTACTGCCACAGCCTACTAAGTGCTGTACCCGGTTTGAACACTTGAGTTTGAACACTTCAAGTTTCGTAGAATGCGTGGAATACGGTGTTCTCAAGAAAAAGAAGTAGAGTTTGTGTCTGGGGAACCCAGAGGGAAAACAAGCCTTAAATATTTTTCACAGATTATGTATTTATATGGAATAAAAGCATTTATTTTACCAATGGGGACTAACCGCCCCCTGAATCAAAGCTATATAGAAAACCGAGAATTTTCAAGGAGTAGTGGACTGCCTTAGCATGTATAATTGAACATAAGTGCTAAGTAGTTGGCTTTTTTCTTGAGGTTGTTTGTGTATTTCTTCGTGACCTCCTACTCTGCTCAGCTGCTACTGAACTAAGTGGAGAACAAGAAAGCAAATGAGATGTAGGCAGAGGCACCAACCAATCCATAAGCTTGCCTCTTGGCAATATTACAAACTGCTCCGTGGAGTTTGGGGTTGGTCCTGAGTAACTGGAGTCAAATATAACCGTGATTGCGTCAGCTTTTTTGAATAATTATGGATTGGCTAGTGTTTAGATTTAATGTCGATTTAATCCTGGGCATACAGGGAATGCTCAACTAACCGTGGTGGGAAAATGCATCTCTCCCCCAGAGTATAACTATGCGTGGGCTGGGGGAGGTAGCTCACTCACTGGCGTAGGCGCCTGCCTGGGAATTGCAAGGTCCTGAGCTCCATGCCCGTACAACCCCCTCAAAAAAGAACGTGTGTGTGTGTTTAGATGTGTGCTTTTCTAAATCCCTGGGTCCCATCCTTCATCTCTACTTTCAAGCCTACCATGGTGGTCTTGTAGCACCACAAAGGGTATGATAATGCAGAGACCGTGTGGGGAAAGATGCCACAGGTAGAGTGGGAAATGAACTGACAAAATTTGTGATGGAAGGTTGCACGAGGGCGGAGTAAAGTTTTAACTCAGGAGGCTTATTTTTGGTAGGCACACCTGTAAGTCCCTCCCAGCACTCAGGAAGCTGAGGCAGGAAGATCACCATGAATTTTAGGCCAGCCTAAGTTACTTAAATGAGCGCAAGGCCAGCGTATGCTATATAGCGAGACCGTGTCTTTAAAAAAAAAAGTATTATTTTGGCACCATTTGTATATCAGATGTCCTGCTTCCTCCAAAAAGGAAAGGGTGTTAACAATGTTTCCCAGGAGACCTGTGTCTCGTAATGCTTGTTAAGCCTGACACTCCGTGAACCAAAGTTCTGGTCGCTGTCTGTGCCAGGTAGAAAGGGCAATGTAAAGCTACACAGATAACTTCTCCAAGAAGTGGCTCCGCTGGAGAATTATTTGGGTGGAGTACAGGTGCCATATTGTGTTCTTGGTGGGTATCATTTTCCCTCAGTCAGCTACAAAACATGGGAATGAGGACCTTTTTTTTTTTTTATTTAAAGACAACACAAATAGTAAAAGCCAAAACCCCCCCCCAAAAAATTAGAAATGATACAGAACTTCACCAAACAAAACAATAGGAATCTGACAATGGTTGCTATATTGCATCATGTTGCCTTCAACATGACTTTGGCCAACTCACTGTGAAAATCTGTGTTAGTAATAGAAATGAGAATAACTAACATTTTAATTTTTATTTTTTTGTGGAACCAGGGATTGAACTCAGGCCCTTGCACTTGCCAGGCACACATTCTACTGAGCTATTTCCTCAGCCTCTAACTTTATGATAACGTTAAAAAAAAAACCCAATCAATCTAACAAAGGGAGTAAAACATCTATACAGTGAAAACTACAGTACTCTAGAGAATAAGATCAAAGAGGATTTCAGAAAATGGAGGGGCTGGAGAGATGGCTCCGTGGTCTAAAGCACCTACTTGGAGCAGGCTTGGCAAAGCACAGGGACCGTGGTTTGATCCCCCAGCACCACATGCCGGCCAGCCGCGCCCCCTGGTGGGCTGAGCTGGCCCCCCCACACACAATAAATAAATGTTTAAAAAGAAAATGGATATAGGCTGCAGATAATTCACTTTAGCCAATATTTTTATTTGTACATTTATTTGTAATTAAAAAATAATTGTATATACTCATGATATACAGCATGATATGGAACACATAAATTAATCTAATTAAACAAACTCTCAAAAAAAGAAAATGGAAAGATACTCCCTGCTCATTGGTAGGAATAACCAAACATTGTGAAAATAGCCATTGTTATGCAGAATTGTTACACAGAATCAATGTAGTCCCAATTAAAATACCAGTAGTATACTTCACAGATCTAGAGAAAACATTCCTAAAATGCATCTGGAACTAGAAGAGACCTAGAATAGCAAAAGCCATCTTGGGCAACAAAGGAAGGTAGGGGGCATCACAATCATAGCTACATCATAATCATCACAATCACTGACTTGAAATTATACTACAAAGTTAGTGTGATTAAAATCAGGTTGGTACACAACCCCCCATATAAAACCAAAGCCCAAAAAACAAGAAACCAGACCAATGGAATATATTAGAAGATGCAGGCTGGCCCGATAGCTCTGCAGATTAAAGCACCTGCTTAGGCAGACATAGGGACCAGGGTTCAATCCCTAGCATGCCAGCCCCACCCCCCAGAGCTGAGATGGCAATTGAGACTGAGAAGGGGGGGGGTGTGCCTGTAATCCAGCACTTGGGAGGCTGAAAAACAGGAGCATCACTACAAGTCAGATCTACGTAGTGAGACCCTGTAGACCCTGTACTAAATATATGAAAAAAAAGATGCATACACAAATACACCCTCAGCCCCCTTATATTTTTTTTAAAGATTAGTACAGGGTCTTGCTACACAACTTGGACTCAGTGATCCTTCTGTCTCAGCCTCCCCAGCCCTGGGATTATAGGCATGCACTACCACGCCTGGTTTCAGTGGCTGGCATGGACTGCCTGTGGTTTCAGGGCCTGCACAACATGTGGTACTAGGGATTGAACCTGGGTCCTTGCGCTTGCCAGGCAGGCACTTAGATCATGAGCTATCTCTCTAGCCCAGCAACTTTATTTTTGATAAAGGATCAAACATGTTCAACAGAAGAAAGATAGTCTGTTTAATAAAGGGTTCTAGAAATACTGGCTTTCCACATGCCAGAGGCTAAAATTAGATTCATGTCTAGCAACATGCACTAAAGTCAAAATGGAT